AGCCAGGAGGCTGCTCCAGCTGATTTATCACCTGAATAATTTACTGTGATTGAAAGGAAATTAAAATGAACTCCATTTGACAACTGTGAGCTTTTATGGGCTTTAGTGAAGGCTCAAAAGCCAGATTAATAGCCTGGTGTTGGTTAATAGTCTGCCGAGAGTAAATACGGCAGGCTGTGCTCCACGGCCTTCCTGTGGCGGCCGGAGGAGGGACCCGCTGCCACCAGGAGCGCTGCGCCGACGACAACGTCAATGGGAGTTTTACTGAAACAGATTCCACTGCTGGAAACATACACACACACGCACGCACATACACGCGTGCGCACACACACACTCACCACCAGCAGCTTTATTTTCTTCTCTTCCTCCAACATGATTTTTACTCACTCCACGTGTAGGGAAAAGAGAATTGCTTTTTCAAAAACCATTTTGAAAAGGAAGTGTTTCACTGCTCCAGGAGTGGTCAACATTAACCCTTTCCACCCACGGCAAAGGGTTTACTACGTTTCCCTATAAAAGCCAGCAGCCTGGGCCCACCCACCCAGGTAGATCCTGGCAGGAAAAGCTGCAAGGTGGGGCAGGCTCCGAGCTAACAGCAGTAACTGTCAGGACCCCTGCCTGGCCCCAAAGAGGAATGTTCTTCCCATGGGGGACAGGGTGGGAGGATCTGAGAGGATGTGGCCTCTCCAAACCTATGGCAAGTTCTGAGAGTTCTGGAATGACAGGCAGACTCTGACTGCAATAGGCCAGGTCTGGAAATCAACCAGCCAGAAAACTGGCCCCTGGAATCATCCTGGACCTGGAGGCCCATGGAACCATCTTGCATGAGATGAAGACAGAAGACCCTGAGATGAGATTCCAGCTCTGCAATTCAACAATCTCAGAAACTCCCTGAGTAAACAATCTGTGAAAAAAAATGTTCCAATCTGTATAATGGGGCTCCCAAATCGTGCCCAGCCTGTTTGGCAGGCATTTGCCTTGGGGGTCCAATGAGAGGATGGATGTGAACTGAACGCTATGGTGTATAGGTGAGGAGGATCGCTGTTGTCATGTTCGGCTTCAGTTGTTGCTGCTGTTCTTCTTGTTGTCGTCATCAAAATCATGATTACTCCTACCACAGATACGGAAACTGAGGTCCAGAAAAACAGTGACTGGCTCAGCAGGGCAGAGCCAGGACTCAAACCAAGCTTCCCGACCCCAAGGCCAGTAAGTGCTCTTTCTTCCCCACCAAGCTGCTCAACGAAAGTGACAGCAAGGCCCCCATCAAGGGCACTAGGCCACAGAGACACAAACTGAGACAGCTCGATCTGCTCGAAAATGGAAGAGAAAGCCAGCCTCCGCAGCCAGCACCTCAGGCCCCCTTCCTGTCACCACCGCCAAGCCACGCTGGGGCTCACAGGCAAGGCCTGTGGAACATTCACCTCTCAGAGAGCTAGCATGAGGGGCCCAAGGAACCTGTACCCTTGACGCACATCCCTTCGCAGCCTGCGGCCCCTTGCTCGGGCGTCATTTGTCCTAAGTGATTGGGAATCGGGCGCGAGGGTATGTCATTCATAGTCCAGTGCCTGTGTGTGTGTGCAGGGCAGCCCCGCCGCCTCACCTTCCATCTCTCCTCATTAAGACACATTACAGGGAGGTGAAGCAGATTAACCAGAAAACACTGGGTCAGTCATTATCCCGCCACACAGTTCACCTGCAGTCACCGCCTCAGAGCGCACAGTCAGAGACAGGCCTGCAGGCGTGCCCGCTCATTCTGAAGGACACTGGAGATGCTGAGTCCTCACAGAGTTTGTAATCAGGTCTCCTTCCTATCAGACCCCATCTCTCCATGAGCCCAAGGGACCTGTCCTTCAAGCCCCCCATCCAACACTGTCCCCTCAGTGCCATTGTCCATAATGCTCCCAACCCAGGTAACGTCCCCCTCTCTGGCTGACACCTCATCAGGACCCTCTGAACAGTCTCTCTTGTCCTGTGGGCTCTGAGTCCACAGCACACTGCCCTTGTGAGACTGGGCAGAGCTGATGAGCACCTGGCACTGTGCCTGGCTCTCAGCCCACGATCAGGGAAGAAGTTAGAGGAGTGGCACGTGAGCAGGTGAGTGAGTGAATCAATGGGCGGCTTCCAGACCACTCAGGGATGAGGCCCTGCAGGCTGCATGGTCTTCCTGGGCACTCTGAGCTAAAGGAGCTATGGTGCAGATGCTGAGTCTCCATGACAGTCATGTGAAACACAGAGGGAGTCTCGCACCGAGTGTCTGCGTTAATTAGGGGTTCTTAGAAACATTTGTGCTGCAGAAGCCAGGTGGAGTGCAGAGGCCTGGATCCCCTCTCTTCCCCACTCACTTGCTGGGTGACCTCAGACATGCCCTGTCCTCTCTCTGGGCCTCTAAAAAAACAAGAGGATTGAAATCTTGCCTCTGTGGTTCCTGTTACCCCTAAAATTACATGATCTTGTCAGCCATTAGAAGATAAACTTTCTGGCCGGGCGCGGTGGCTCACGCCTATAATCCCAGCACTTCGGGAGGCCAAGGCGGGTGAATCATGAGGTCAGGAGATCGAGCCCATCCTGGCTAACATGGTGAAACCCCACCTCTACTAAAAAATACAAAAAAACTAGCCAGGCATTTGTGGCGGGCACCTGTTGTCCCAGCTACTCAGGAGGCTGAGGCGGGGGAATGGTGTGAACCTGGGAGGCGGAGCTTACAGTGAGCAGAGATTGCGTCACTGCACTCCTGCCTGGGTGACAGAGTGAGACTCCATCTCAAAAAAAAAAAAAAAAAAAAAAAGATAAACTTTCTGGCTGGGCGCAATGGCTCACGCCTATAATCCCAGCACTTTGGGAGGCCAAAGCAGGTGGATCACCTGAGATCCGGAGTTCAAGACCAGCCTGGCCAACATGGTGAAACCCCGTCTCTACTAAAAACGCAAAAAAATTAGCTGGGCGCGGTGGCAGGCACCTGTAATCCCAGCTACTCAGGAGGCTGAGGCAGGAGAATCACTTGAACCCAGAAGGTGGAGGTTGTGGTGAGCTGGGATGGCACCACTGCACTCCAGCCTGGGCAACAACAGCGAAACTCCATCTCAAAAAATAAAAGAAGAAGATAAACTTTCTTCCACATTCTGGAGGGAAGGACAGGCCTCATCCAGGAAGGTTCCCTGATCAAGTCCCCTCTCACTCTCTTCCCGTGTCGGAGAAAACGTGCCTTTTGCCCTCTCCCAGAAGGGCTCTGAGCAGAGCCGGGAGGGTGCTTGCGATGGAAACAGATTCTCCTCCCTGAAGCCCAGGATCTAGAGTGTGTGGGGGCGGCTATGCCCAGCACCATAACCGTGTCCTACCCAGCAGAGGCATCACTCGACTTGTAGGAGAAAGACTAACATCCTCACCCCAGTCTACAAGACCAGGCCCACCTCCCCAGCACCACCCCCCGCCCGTCCCTAAGCCACAGCCACGCCCGCTCTCTCCGTTCCTCATCCTGCCGCCTCCCTCTCAACTCAGGGCCTTCGCACTTGCTGTCCCCTCTGCCAGGCACTTCCCTCCACCCCCACACCCCTTCTCCTTGCTCCCAAACCCTTCAGGCTCAGCATAAATACCTTTCTCCCAGGAGGCCACTGTGGCTCAGCCTTTCCTTTAGGCTCTTCAGAGAACCTCAGACACCTCCTCCTCAGCACCAAGCACACCTGTAACCCATGACCCTTCAGGAAATTCTTTTATTGGGATTCTTCTGCAAGTCTGTAAGCTCCCTGAGGGGAGGTCCAAGCCCATCTTGTTCACTGATGTGACCCGGTGCATGGCTCCATGGCTTGTACAAAGTAGACACTCATCGTATTTGTTATGTGAATGCATGTCTTGCAGGATGGCCTTAGGTAAGTTGCTCTGCTTCTCTGGACCTTGGTTTAACCCTCTGAAAACAAAGTGGCTAGAAGGTCTGTAAGAGCTCTCACAGAAACTGCTCGGACACAGACAGACTGTCATAGACAGGTGGCCCCAGAGGCCCTGCTCTTCCCTCACCACCCACGGTTCTCTCTAGCACCTCGCCTCTCCATGGGAGCTGTGCAGGGAGCCTACACTATTTGGAATGACTTTTTGGAGAAAATTCAGAAGCATCCTCTAATTAGCATTTAGTGGAAGCTCAGTGCCGCCAGTTCTCACCACTAGTACCAGCGAGGAAAGTGCTGGGGAAAGTTATTGTCTGTGGGGTCTCTCTGGTTGGCCCACCAGGTGGGAGCTCTTGGCGGTCCAGAGCCATGTCTAGCCTGCAAGGTTACCTGTCAAGCCCCTGGCACACACTGGGTGTCAGGAAATAGTCTTATGAATTGAATCTGGTACTCCAGGGACGTTAGTTAGGCCTCAGGAGCCTCTCACTGGGCCGAGCCTCGTGATCCCATCTCTATAGTCACAGGTAGTGACTACTCCGCCCAGGGTATAGCAGACAGCCAGTCAGCCAGGGCTGGCCCTCCTGCTTTCTCCCTCTCTTGCAAATAACCCAGGTGGGAGTTTGTGCAATGAGACATTTCTTTATCTCCAGACTCTTGGATTCAGTTACTAAAAGTATGACAGGGTGACCTGGTGAGAGGGCAGACAGTGGGATACCTGCCTGCTCCGTCATTCCATTGTTCACGGCCAGTGAGCCCCCAGGCCACGTGCTGGTTACATATTTCCACCATCACCCTGACTGACAAGATAATGACCCAAGACCACCTTAAGTGTCCCGGAAGATCATCACACCCTTCTATCCAGAGAGTCCTTGGAAAGGACACGAGAGCAGCCAGAGAAGTCACCCACCCCCCGGCTGGCCAGCGACTGGAGCCCCAGACAAGCCCTCCCGGCCTCGTGGGATGTAGTGACTGCCCAAGTTTGGCCAAGAACACTGAAGAGACCTCTCTGAGAAGAACCTGGTGTGCCCTCACCCACACCCCCCTGCCAGATGACTCTGCCTTCAGGAAAGTGGCTGGGCCAGTGTGGCAGTGGTAGGTGTGGCGGGCATGCATCACGGGGCGTACCTGTTCAGGCTTGATGGGCTCTGTGGTGGTGAAGATGTCTGAGTAGTGCTGCCTCTCAAACACGCGGTCCAGCACCTCCAGCTGCTGCTGTGTGAACAAGTCTCCCCGCATCTGCTTCCGGAGGAAATCTCTGCCTGGAAGTGAGTGGCCGTTTGGCACCGGAGACTCCTGAATACCTTTGATGAGCAGGAGAGAGGAAGGGTGAATGGAGGTTATACACGTTGCTAAAGAAAGACAGGTCAGACCCTGAGACTAGAAAGAGGACCTAACCCCAACTCCCTCCCTGACCAGAGAAGACACCGGCAGGGGCTCAGGTAAGGCACCGCCTTGCCCAAGGTCACCTGCTTGGTAAGTGCAGGGCCAGCCTCCTGCAGCCATGTGCCAGGGACTGTGCAAAGTCCTTTTGACATGCATCATCTCATCTAATCCTCGTGAGGACCCTCAAAGTAGGTTATTCTCCCCACTTTGCAGATGAGAAGATTGAGACCTAGAGAGATTTCTTGGTTTGCCTGAGAATTCGAGCTTGAGTTGATCCGCAGGCCTAGTCATCAGGTGCTCCTGCCCCTCCTGTCCTAAAGACACTTCTGGGAGGTACAGTTTTTCCCAGAGTTGAGGTCCTTACCCTGGACATTTGCTACCACATCATGTGATCGGTCAGTGAAACACTGTGCTAGGAAGACTGTAGGAAAACGGGACTCTCATACAATTCTGGTGGAAGTGGTAACAACACCTGTGCTAGACAAGTTGACAAATCTGTCAAAACCATAAATGCACTTTCCCTTCAATATAGCGATTGCACTTCTGGGAATTTATTTTACAGCTCAACTTACACATGTGAGAAGTGATGTATGTACAAGGTTCTTGTAGCAAAAGACTGGAAACAACCCGAGAGTTTATTTGGGGGCGGGGGCTGGTTAACGCAGCCAGGCATACTTGCATAATGGAAAACTGTGCAGCCGCAGAAAGGAATGAGGCTTCCTTCTGTGAATTGATATGAAAAGATCTTCAAGATACATTGTTATGTTAAAAAATAAAAAACAAGGTACAGCACAGCATGTATAATGTACAACCTTTTGTGTAAAAAGGAAGAAAATAAGACTATGTGCAATATGGATCTCTCCAAAGGATATATGAGACATTTACAGTGGTTGCTCATTCAGGGAGGTAGGAAGTGAGTGAGTGGAGGTGAGGGGGAGAGACTTTTCACGGCATGTTTTTCTTTGGTTTGGTTTGGCTTCAGAAGTTTAAATGTACTGCCTATTACAAAATGTAAATTAAGTAAGTATAAGATTAAATTCCCTCTGTGTTCTGTATTGTTAGCTATTCACACTGTAACAGTCTCTGGTGATGATGCTTACATGTCAAAAGAAATATTATGAATTATCAATAAAGAAACAAATGCGATGAAATATCTTCTGTTGAGTCTCAAGCTGGAACTGTTCAAAATAAAATCAAGCACAGAGGGCAAATGTTTCCAGCGAGCAAATGGCCTCAGAGGGTACATCATTCCCCAGGGCTCTCTGGGACCACATTGCTCACACAAGGCTGACCAGAGGCTTTTTGAAACCCAGGCCCAGAGGTGAGGCATCTGGGACATCTTCCTGCAGTCAGGAAGCCCTGGGGAAAACCAGCATGGGTCTGCTCTCATGCTAAAAGGTGCCCTTACTCAAGGCCTTGTCTGACCCCCGCCCCCACCAGCACACTCCTGCCCTAGACTGGACTTCATCCGTCATGGCCAGCTCCCATTCATGTGAGGAATGAGGCCAGACTAAGGGGCGTGAAGCAGTGGGATGTGGTGTCACCAAGACTCAGCCAAAAGTCAGTGCTTCCTCAACTGTACTTATCTGGAGACAACTGCAATGCAGGGCTGACATCTGAACAAAGATAGCAGCTTTGTGTTTTGGCCTTTCAGATCCCCTGTAGAAGCCAACAGGCTCAGAGGACCCAGCATCCTCTATAGGAAGGGCCTTCAGAGGCAGCTCACGAGCCCTCTGAGAAAATGGATTCCCCACTAATTTTGACCCAAGAGGATACTGTAGGCTGGGCCACAGCCTGAGTCACCAGATGCTCCCACATGTGGGCCAAGGCAGAAGTTGGTCTCTCTGACCAACGTTCCCCAGCCTGAAGCCTAGGCCCCTCCTCTAGCAGCCCGTGACCCTGGCCTTCCACAAGGCAGGTGCCTGCTCCTGCCCAGAGGACATCATCCTCAGAGACCCTTCTCCCATCATGGCCCATCCCCACAGGGACCATTCCCACAAGGTCACCAAGACTAGCAGGTACGGGAGCTCATGGCCCAGTCTGTCTGCCCTGCAGTGTTCTTCCATTGGTCAGCACCCACCAAATGATCCTTTTCTCAAAGGTTCTCTGCACACACATGCACAGGCACATGCACACCAGGAAAGATGGCTCCGTTTTTCCTACTCAGCTGTGGCTCTGCCCAGTCATCCTGGTCCCAGTCACTCCTGCGAAAGCATGATGTTGGCCTTGGTCCCCAGTGCACCCCCAAGTTCCTCCCTGTCAGAAGGGGCACATCACTTTCAAAAAGCTTCTCCCTCCACCAGCTTTGGTTATACTTCCCAGCCCCAACCCTGCCAGCCAGGCCCAAAACTCTTAGTGAAGCCTCCTTCCTGTCAGCCATCTCCTAACGACTCCTGCCGAGGCCTGGCTCTGTCCCCAGCAGGGCAGTGCCCAGCTTCTCCGGCCCACTCAGGCTGCTCCATCACACCCCCTCAACTCTGCCCCTCTAGGGGGCCTCTCCCAGCCAGCCAGGCCATCCTCCCAGAGACATCCTCAGGCTTGATCCCTTTCCCACGGGACTCATGGGCCAGGCTCTTTCCACAGCTCAGAGCCCAAAGCTCAGAGGGAATGGACCCACTGAGGGCCCCTGCGGGCAAGGCCACTGTCTGGTCACCCAGTAGAGCCCAGCACAGGGTAAAGGCTCAGGGCACACGGGCCCTCAAGTGTACACACAGCGGGTGTTAGGAGACCCTCCCCTGAGGACACCACACAGCCTCTGAGCACAGGCAGCCTTGCTGGACCCGCGCCCCTCTCTGCAGAGTCTCCCCAGAAGCGAACTGGCTGCATCCTGCTCTGTTTCTTTGAGAGTCAGCCACAGCCCCTGTCAACTGAACCTGTAAGGATATCCAGGCTGCCAGGCACAGTGGCTCATGCCTGTCATTCCAGCACCTGGGAGGCTGAGGCAGGTAGACTTTCCTGGAAGGGCTGTGAGCTGGGCAGAGCCCACCTCTCTGGGCACTCACCCTGTCCCACGATTGCCCTCACCACTCTCGCCCCACCAGCACCTCGCTTGCTTCCTTTACTAGGGAAATACAGGCAATAGTGTCTGTCATTTCCTTAAGAAGGCTTCGGACACTCCAAAACACATAGTCAGTTATTCATTGGTTTAACGAATATTGATAAAATATTTACTCTGTATCAGGTAATATTTCTTAAATAAATACATTTTAAAAATAAACAAAAACAGGGGATACAGTGATGACCAAGACAAACCTCTCTCTCTACAATCTAGAGAGGGCAGCCCACTTTAGTCAAGTAATCACACGAATAAACATAGGATTACAAACAACTGTGACTGATGCTAGGGTGAAAAGAGAGCATAAAAATATATCTATGTGACCATGTGTAATGGGGAGGGGAGTGGCCTCCTGTGAGAGGAGTCAGGGAAGTCTCCAAGAGGAATTGCATGGAACAGTGAGGAGTGACCAGGGAAAGGGGGTGGGGCAGAGAGGGTGCCAGACCGGGGAGACAAAGGGCCGGTACAAAGGCCCTGAGAGAAGGGGGTGAAAGGAACAGAGGGAGAGAGGGAAGAGGCCCCAGGAGAATCTGGAGAGGCTGGGAGGGATGGAGCCAGACAACCCCAGAGGCCAGAGAGAGGATCTGAGCCTTGCTGCAGGAGTCTTGAGGAGCTACTGGAAGTGCTGAGGAAGCATGTGCCCTCCACATTTCTCAGTCCCAGGGCCCAAATCGCTCGTTCCTTTAGGTCAGGGCATGCTTTCTAAACTCAGCTCCCAAGCCTCCTCTTTTGGTACTAGGGGCCGGCGGAAGTAGGAGCTTGCATTTGTGGGTGTTTAAAGGTGATACGCTGATTGGCCTGTTGAGTCGCCGGTGATCCACTGTGCCCATATGGAATGGAAACCATCTCCCAGGGACACAGGCATTGTTTTTCAGACAGACACAGCCAGAAGGCACACGTGTCTCCTCCTCCAGGATTCCTTCCTTCATGCCCCAGCCGGTCCTCCAACTCCCGTTCTTAGGGCTCTGACCACTTTCTCCCTTACCTTAGAAACCACGTCCCCTGGACCCTTCACTCCCACACTGTGCTATGAGCTACCTTCGGGGGAAAGGTGGGAGGTAATTCATCTCTCTCTCCTCCAAAGCGAATATCTGTGGATTAAATGAACGAATTGGTACTACCTGTGACTAGTGTGACATGCACCATCACTCTGCATGTCTGATCTGAAAATGTCAGGATCCCTCCATCTGACCTCACTCATTCATCATTCTTCCCTCCACCAGGCTTAGTGAGTGCTAATGCCAGGGACACAGTGATGGGCAAAAGCTGACCCAGCCATCGTCCTCATGGAGTTATGTCCAGAGGAGGTGGCAAACAGTAATTGAAAATAATCGGACCAGTAAAGGTGCAAGTATCAACCAAGGTAAGTACTCTGAAGGAAAAAGCACATGGTCCTAAGAGGTCAGGGACCCTCTGTCCTGCCTCTGGTGTGGCACACAGTGGGTCCTTAGTGAGAATGAACCAACAAACAGATTATATGCTCAGAGACAGCTGCAAAAATGAATACCCCAAATCAGCCCCTGCACAAGGGCAGGTCTGAACCTCCAGGCCTCCGGTGTAAGCTTCCGTAGCATTTCTCATCTGCACCGTGAAGATGCTGTCTGACTTAATTGGAGAATGTGGTCTTGGAGGCAGGCTACAGAAATGCTCAGACCCATTTTATTCCAGGGAGAAAAGTCTGAACTCACAATGTGAATGGTATGCTTAAATATATGGACAGACATGGGCGAAAGTACAAAGGTATACAGGGGGCATGGTATCTTTAAATCTTTTTTTTCTATTCCAAATCAAATAATATGTAATAGACCCAGTGCTGGGCTTAGTCAACCATGGCTCGTAGAATTAACATTCTGGAAGCTAGCT